CACTTGCTTACTAGCTGAAATGTGATGAATAAAAAAAAAGGTCACGGTCATTCAAGCAGTGTTGCTGAATTTGAAAACGATTGAGGAGCTCCCGTCAATCTATGATCTTCCATCCTGCCCGCCCTTTGGCAATTATTCAGCTCTATGCAAGTCCTCGGAGATCAACAAAGACACCACCTTTGGGACGAAGGACTTACAATCCCGTGACCTCCAATGGGTTTGAGGGCGATTAATTAAGTGCGATGTGTTATAAATAAATGTGGTTGCTAAAATTATTAATTAAAAAAAAAAAAAATTTATTTATTATTAAAAAAAATAAATTATAAATGTTATAATAAATGTTATAATAAATGTGGTTGTAGTTGTTAATTAAAATAAAAAAAAAATTATTTTTTCTATATATATGTGTGAGATTGATGATCGATCAATGTGCGTCATTTAACTTTTTTTTTTTTTCAGTTGAACAGGAGAGACTGTCCTATATAAGGAATGAATTTTCAAATTTTTTTATACTAATACTAATACGGTTTAAAATACTTTTACAAGTAGCCCATTCTTGCAATAAATCATGTGTAAATAATTACACAAATTTGAAGAAAAAATGTCTGAAATTAAACGTTGCACGGAATGTAAAAACCATTAAATCAGCTAATTTCGTCAACTGTAAGGCAATAAATGGAAAGAGACTGAAAACAACAACTTAGTGAAGGTATTTGTTTGATTTTTCATGCGTTGTTCATTTTTCCTCTCGATCGTGTATCTTAATTTCGTTATGTTTACGATCGTTTCATTGACATTCGTTATGTTAAGGTTATTTGATTATATCGAGAGATATGGTCAAGAGAAGAGTTAGGAAGAGAGTTATTCTTCAACCAAGTCGAAAACCAACCCTTTAAATACATTTTCGAGTAGTACGATTTTTAATTTATTAGACTGTTTCAATGGTTCGTCGCGTGGTTGCTTCCAACTTCTTAAATTCGTTAGCGAAATGATTGTTGGTGAGGCGATTGTTGACAAAATGAATCAAACCCATATTAATATTTATATATTTCTACGTTATCAAATTCACGATTTTAATTGGTCGTCAGCAAATTGCGTGGGTTAAAATTTTGTGTTCTCTCCTGCTCACTTGCACATCCTCGATTACAAAACTTGTTTAGATTAATTCAATCATTACCTAAAAAACAATTTAAGAACCTATTTCTTGAACTCGGCCAAAACTTGAAAATTCAAGTTTTAACTCGAGCCTGCTCAACTAGAGTTTCTATTCGAATAAGGTTTATTCGAATTATTTGAAATAAAACGAATAATTCGATAATTTGAATGTGAATGAATTAAAATTAAGTTGCATTACAAATAATTCGAAAGATTTTTTGAGTCTCGTTTTAATTATCTGAGCAAATTTTATACAGTAAAACCTCGTTTCAATGAATATCGTTTCAACGAATTACAATTAAATTCTATGTGTCCCATAGACGAGTTAAAACATTTCAGAACCTTTATTAGAAGCACAAATATTGTTAAAACATCAAACCTTGAATTAAAATTTTCGGAATTTTTAATTGTCATAAAATTATCGAATATTAGTTACACTACCCGGACAAAAGTTTGTGAACGATGTTTTTTGTTAATTACGCAAAATACTACATAATAACAACACATAAAATTTTAATATTATACGGCCTAGGTTCTTGTTCGTTTTTGTATAAAATTTGACGTTTTTTGTATTTCTAGTACTTTATTAATAAAAAAAAAACGAAATACTTTTTTTTTGAAAAGATCTTCAAAAAGTTAAAATTGAAAAAAATTGACTAGCAATTCGCGAGTAAATTCCAAGTTCATGAAGGTTTCTACGAATTGTTCTTGTAGAAACCTCTTTACCGATTGCTACAGATAAATTTTCTCGTATCTGACCAGAAGAGTTGCGATTGTTTTGATTTACTATCTCTTCTAATGTCTTTTGATCATCTTTATTCAAAGTTTTGGGTCTTCCACTTCGAGGTGCACTTTTTACATTATCAGAGTTCTTGTAACGTTTTATGATGTTGCAAACACTACCCTTTGAAATTTTGAGCTTTTTTGAGATTTCTGACATACTATTTCCAGATAGATGAAGACCCAAAACTTTTCCACGGTCAAGTTCAGTCAGTTCCGCATATTTTGGCATTTTTATGATTTTAAAATTTTTTTGCAGATCACGATTTAGATCTAGAAAAAAAAATAACGAAAGAAATAAAATCTAGATGCGTTAAAGTATTTAAAATCATACAGTTCATTCTCCAAAACCGTAACTTTTATATGATATAATTTTAAATATTTTTATTATAAAAATTTTTGAAAAATCACGAAAATACTGTAAACATTTTAAAATTTAATCAACTTTCGGTTTTTTTTAATTAATAAAGTACTAGAAATACAAAAAACATCAAATTTTATACAAAAACGAACAAGAACCTAGGCCGTATAATATTAAAATTTTATGTGTTGTTATTATGTAGTATTTTGCGTAATTAACAAAATACATCGTTCACAAACTTTTGTCCGGGTAGTGTATATTACTATTATTATTATCATTAGTTATATTCGAATTAAAAAAATTTATTCGTTTTTATCAGTTTTATTCAAATTACTAGTTTATTCATTTTATAAAATATAGGCCTTATTTCTTTAACAAGATAATATAAACAATAATTATATTTATAATCTATATTACTACTATAATTGCTAGTACTATGACTTAAGGAAAATGTCAGCTACTACTATTTATTATTGTACTATATCCAAGGACCAAGGAAAAATAGATTGATAAAGAAAAAAAATTTAATTGGATTGGATCATTCGAATTATTATTATTATTTTTATTATTATTATTATTATGCAAGTTTTTTTCGAATCATTAATTTTATTCGAATTAAAAAATTTATTCGAATTATTATTATTAGTTTTATTCGATGCAATTCGAATACTCTAATTCATAACGAATAAAACGAATAATTCGAATAAACCTTATTTGAATAGAAGTCCCACACCAAGTATATAAAAAAAAATTCAATTTAATAATAATACAATAAAATTTATGCTAAAATTATAAATATTCGTTAAATGTAAATGTAATATATCAGATATAAGGATGCTGGCGAAACCAGCAAATTGGTTTCGTCTTATAGGCTAAACGTTTAGTCTATATGAAAAAACCAATTTACTAGTTTTTTCATTATTATTATTACTATTATTGTTCAATATCGATTTCGATTTCTTTTATTTCATCGTTCCATGATAATTTGCTGTTTCTATTTCTAGTGGTGTCATAGTCATCTTCTCGCACAAGGTCCAACATTGTTATAGTAATTTCTAATGCTAATACATTCCACAATAATTTACTAAAATAGTTATTCAAATCAAACCAAAAGGCGATTTCTAAATAAAGTAGAATACGTGTAATGTATAACAGAGTAAAGAAAAGACTGGAGAAAATCCAAACGTAATTGTTCCGTTTATGTTGTTCATGGTTATCATCCTGATCATTGTATTTATATTTTTGCAAAAATCTTTTCCATTTATTTTTTCCTTCCATTTCAAGGGCATACTTGATTGTTCCTAACAAACTGATTAATATTACTATTGAAAGAATGATGATCCATGATAACATCTCAGTAGTGATTTTATCATAATTTTTGCCTAGAAAAGCCAAAACTATGCATGTTTTGACAGGTGCAGATATGTAACTTATTAAATTCAAATCTATCCGCATATTGTTATCACTAAATGAAAAATATATATTTAATGAATCGATTGCTTGCTCATTTATTTATACAGTCAAACCTTGCCACAGTGGATCTTATTGTAGTGAATTATAATCAAATTCGCGTTATAACATATATGACGAGATTAGTAATTATAATAATAATATTTTTCTAATGTGTCCCGTGTATCCGTTTGTGACAAGGTTTGACTGTATTAGTATTAATATTAATAATATAAATAAAATTGAAAATCAAAATTTTGTATTTTTTAAATTTATACCTATTGTTATTATCTTTTTTTGATTTTTTTTCGAGATTAGTAGCTTCAATTTCCTTATTTTCTTCAAATTGATTAATTTCAATTCCCGCCTCATTTTCTTTAATTCCCTTATTTTCTTCCAAAGACCACATTTCTACATTGTCTGCTTTTATTCCGGGTATAGTTCTAATGTCTTCAATCAATATAGCCATTATGAGCACAAAATTTATAACACTATAGGATACAAACACTATAGTCCAAGTAGTATTCTTCTCGATCTTGCTTTCAAGGGCTAAAAAAGAGTAAATTATTACGAATGTACCATATAAGTACGCCAAAAATCTTATAAAAAACCTCACAATTAATGCGAAGTATCTGGCTTTTAATTCTTTGCAGAAAGAAAGATAAATAAATAACGGCAAAAATAATGTTAACAAGGTATCAAGTAAGTTGTCTCCCTGAAAGCCTTCATCATCAATAGGTGGTGCTGCTTTAGTGATGACAATAAACAGATTGATTGTGGAAAATATCAAGAGATTTTTCATGATTCAATGATTTTAATGAAAACTCAACTCTACCACCGTTCCATTTATAAAAATTTTCCGTCATCTATCATTACCATTATCATTATCACTATCATTGACTCATCACGCTTCCTTAAATGGCTTTATAATAAAATCTAATTGCATGAAATATTTATGTTACACGGATGATCAGTTATCAAAAATGGTCAACAAAAAGAATTGGAGAAAAACCAAAAGAATAAATTGTGGGAATCAAACTCTTTTTTCAGAACTTTATGAGACTGGGAATTGGAACAAATTATTAATATTAAATAATTCAGCACTCAAATATTTAAAATTAATTTCTTGTTGCAGAGGATCTCACATACTTGTCATTAAGGGAGTAGCTTAAGGTTGGCAATAATTTGATAGTGCAGCCAGAGTTCATGCATGTCTATATAGAAAATAAGATAAAAAGAGAAAGATTTCCTATTGATCAATCAAAAGATCTTGATACTTTATTAATTGATAAAATAATGTTACTATGAGTTTATACAAAAATGATTCATTCAGGAACAGAAAAACCAATTTTATTATTTAAAATTAAGAATATTCTAAAGGACAAGTTTTTATGTATACGTAAATTTTTTTAAAATATATTTATGTAGTGGAACCAAGGCTGGTCGCGTAACTCAAATGAGCACTAGACTGATTAAACTATTTAGTCACATGTTAAGTATTACTAAATTAGGATTTTGACATCCTTTACGCTGCCAGACCCTAGTGAACAAAAGTGATTTTCCTCGTAAATATTATCTTTGTTATCATTGTATAATAAATATGCTTACTTTCTTCACTTTTTACAAAGACCTATTTTCTAATATCTATTGTTTTCATCTATCGCTCTGCCCATAAAATTCCACTAGAAAAAGAAATATTTGTAATCATAAATTATTAAAAGTTCCAATACAAATTAGATGTAAAGATGCTGCCGAAACTAGTAAATTGGTTCATCTTATAGGCTAAACGTTTAGTTTATATTATTATTATATTATTGTATTATTATTATGATTATATTATTATGTTGTTATAATGATGATTATTATTATGTTGTTGTTATATTGTTATTATTATGTTGTTGCTGTTACTGTTATATTGTTGTTATTATTATTATTATTATTGTGTTGTTGTTGTTGTTGTTGTTGTTGTTGTTGTTGTCATATTTTTATTATTATGTTGTTACTACTGTTATATTGTCATTATTATTATTATTATGTTGTTGTTGTTGTTCGATTATTTCGTTCTCATGATGATTTGCTGCTACTTCTGGTGATAAAACTTGTGTGTCATCTTCTCGTAAAAGGTCCAAAATTGCTATAGTAATCTCTAATGCTATGGCATTCCATAGCAATTTACTTAAATAATCGTTCAAATCAAACCAGAAGGCGATTTCTAGATAAAGTAGAACGTGTGAGAAGATCAATAGGGCGGTAAAAATACCGGATAAAACGCAAATGCAATTATTCCATTTATTCTGTTCATCATCGTGTTTATAACTTAACATTCTTTTCAAATTATTTTTTTCTTTCATTTCAAGACCATATTTAATTGTTCCTAATGAACCAAATAACGATATTATTGAAATAACGATGATCCACGACAACATTTCGTTCGTGATTTGATCACGATTGTTACTTAGAAAAGCCAAAACTAAGCAGGTTTTGAAAATTATATATCCGGGCAATAAAAACTTTATTCGCTTATTACTAAAATAAAAAATTTACATTTAATGAATTTTTATAAAATTGAAAACGAAATTTGTATTTTTATAAATATTTATACTAATACCTATCGTTTCCTTTTTTTTTCTGTTTCTTTGGTTTAAAATAAGTTTCCATATATATAAAATCTACTACCCCGAGTACAAAATTTAAAACAACATAGCATATAATGGCCACTTTCCAACTAGCATCAGGCTCGATCTTGCTCTTGAGAGCCAAAAGAGAAAAAATTGGGATAAACGCTGTATATAAATGCGCGAAAATTCTTGTAACAAGCCTTGCAACTAATGCAAAGTATGTGGCCTTTAAATCTTTGGAGAAGGAAAGATAAATAAATAAAGGCAAAAATAGTGATAACAAGGTGTCAAGTAAGTCAAGCAAGGCATTTTCCCGAAAACTTTCATCATAAATAGGTGCCGCTTTAACGGTAACTATAAACAGTTTGGTGGCGAAAAATATTTTTTTCATTATTAAAATTGACATTCAACTCTGCTCATCCATTGATCATTTATAACTTTTTTCATCTTCATTTATCATTGACTCATTTGGAAAGCGGATTATTCAAATGGCTGAATAAAAAGAAATACACGAGAGAATAATACCAATATTTTTGAATAGAGAGTTAAGGGTTTCAAAACTAGTTTCAACCGGTTCTGTGCAATCATTTTTTTAAAAAACTTTTTTTTGTTTCAAATGAATAAATAAATAATAGTGGATAGTAATATCAATAGTAATTAATATCCCTTTTATACGGGAGCTAGGAAAGGGGGGTTGGAACCAAGGAAGAATCTGATGATGGAAAGTTCTGTGAAACGGCACGAGACTTTCTTTTCATTCAAACCAATTATTGCATTCTCTGTCATTGGGGAAATACATCAATAAAACATATAATCATCTGTTTCTTCTAAGTTGATTAATAACTTTATTAAATGGGAAAAAAAAATTGCTTTTTATGTAATTGTACAACATCACACGATATAAAAGACTGATATTTCTAATTGAGGCCTGTGACTGATCATTTATTAAAAACACAATCATCTAAAAAAAGTGTATCTTTATTATTATTGGCAAAGATCATGTGGAATAGAGCGGTTATATATTATTTTTTGATGTTGTAATGTTTATATTAAGAATCAATTATTAATACGGCAAGGAAAAAATTTAATTTAATAGATTTCAAAGAAATAATTTATATGGAATGTAACGCAGGCCCCTTGAAAAGAAAAAATCACAAATGCAATTTCAATTGAAATTCAAAGTCCCTAGCCCCACTCTAAATTGCAATCTCCCGAGCTTGAAACAAATTATATCTTCTCCTTTTTGCGCTAAGATACCTCCTAACACTCCTGTTTAATTAATATCCACATTTGCTTTTTCATCCATTATAGAATATAAAAAAAATTTTTTTCTGTTTTTAAAAAATTAGGTCTTTCTTTTAATGTTAAAGAAATTAAAAAATAAAAAATACAAGAAATAGAGAAACAATACAAAAGGAATATTATGAATAAGTATTAAAATGATTGTTTTTACAGGCTATTATATAGCTATTATAAATTTTCGGTTTTATTTACTTAATTATTAGGAAAAATGAGTTGCAAAGCTTCGTCCTAAATGTTCAGTGGTAAAACATTAAACCATAAATGTTAACAATATTCATGATTATTATATATATAGAAAGCAAAAAAGAAAAAAAACAGATTGAATGTGCAATCTCACAAAAAATGTTCTTGATTGATGGATCTGACTGAAGTTAGTGAACTACACCACATGTTTGTAATATCAGAGTCTATTGAAAATGCAAACATTATTGATTAATTGTTTATAATTGATTAATTAATTGAACATTCATCCATCTATGATTATTTACTTAAAATGAAAAGGTTTATAATATCATGATTTCATGATTTTACAAAGGTAAATTAAAAATTCCTTATTTTTTTAATACTAAGAGATCTTTGTAAACATGTTGTAAGCTAATAACAATAATAATAATATTATTCATTTCATTTTTTTCTTGTCCTTTCTTAGAGTCAATTCTGATAGTAACTACATCTATTAAAAAGCATTATTAACCAATAATCTTTCCAAAATGCTGTTTCAAACCAGCTGTCTTGGTAAGTAAATAAATTTATCATTTTATCCAATATTTTATTTAATGTACCCTATTTGCTTGTACTCATTCATTCATTTAATTATTGTTAGGCAAATCAAAGAGTTCATGGTCAATATGCAAACATGAATAGCTCTAGAAGTGATACTGCCAATAGTAATATAAGATCTTGTCAACCAATCGAGGGTGATTATCCCATCTGGTATGTTTACAATTATTCTTGTAGTGCTAATAACAATAAATATTTTGATTATGATACTTATACAGTAAAGGTCTATAATCAGTTACAACCCATTGTTGGAACCTGAAAAACTTGTCTGGTGTAAAAATTATTGTGGAAATATGTTCATGAAGTTTTTTTGATCAATGGAAAGCTTCAAAATATAGCAGTGGTGAGGTATGAATATTTATATAATCGAAATTAACAACATATATGAATATTGATTAATTGTTAATTGTTTTTTTTTAGATTACTTGTGTTTATTGTCATAATAAATGGAAAGATGTTTCAACCTCTGATTTTTTCTGGAGCATTACCATCTGAACTCCTAATTAAAATATTTAAATACAATGATGATGATTTATATTCTTTCATTCTTGTCAATAAATAATGGCATAATATTAATATTCTAAAACAGCACCAAAATAATAATTAATTGTTTATTGGAAGAAGATAAGGATTTCTTAACAAGAAACAAGGGTTTAAATTGTTAGACAAACTACCATTATATAATTATGCTAGATTTTGCACTGGACTTTATTTAAATATTTTACAAAATAATTAGTAAATTGACCTTGGATCATTCAACAAATATCAGAGGGTTTGGTACTTCTGACATAGATCTTCATCAGTTAAATAATTATCATAGTTTTAATAATATCTTTCAAAATCTTAATGAATTAGATTATAAACTTACTGATAATTATGAATTTATTGGTAAATTACATAAGTCTATTAGTAAATGCCAAAATAACTTTTCATAATAACTGAAATTAATTTTAATAGTGGCCAAAATTGTATCCAAAATTATTTGAATTCCTTGATTCAATAGTCAAAATTCTGGGTAGTTTTTTTTATGATAATTAATATAGAGAATATGGAAAAGCCAGAATTTAGCCAAAATATTTGGCAAATGCAAAACCAATTTTGGCTAACATGTATGATAAATAGCAAATATTTGTGAAAATATTCAATCATTATTAAATTTTGATAATGGATTTGATTATCATAGTCTGTCTGACTCAACTAATTAAAACACAAATTCAAATAAAACATTTAACCATTTATTCATCGCTTGCTAAAGGAGCTTTATCAGATAATTTCAAAAAAGCAATTTTCACTCATTCACAATCAATAATTTATTATTCAAGCTATATACACAATAAATTATTACCAGTGCTTGAAAATCTGGAAATTTTATCAACTAGTAGTTATACAATTAAATATTTAAAAAATGTCCTACTTTCAAATATTAAATCTGTGATTCTACAAAATCTATATACAGTGAACCTTTGTTTCAACAAACCTTGTTTCAACGAAGTATAATTAAATTTTTGATACAACGAATTTTTAAAAACATTGTTACACATTATGAAAACATATAAAAATTCGTTGAAACGCGATTAGTGACCTTGTTTCAATGAACGTTGAATAAAATTTTCTTATATGTCCAGCCACTTCGTTGAAACAAGGGCAGACTGTAGTGAACTATTCCTATCAGACTTTCACACCAATGTAAAAATCTGGATGTTTATTGTCATTCAACTGATAGTGAATGTTGGGGAAGGCTATTTCAATCAATTGCACATGTTGTAAAAATCTAGAATATTTTTTTAGAAGGATGAAGCAATCCAGGAGTTAATGGAAGTATATTAAATTAAAAGGGATTGCATGTGGAACAGGAGACCTTTATACAGAACTAGATATACTTGCCGCCCAAACTCAAAAGACCAAGTCCCAATCCCAAATCCTAAATCCCAATCCCTTAAATTTCATAAATGACACGTTAGGTACGAATTTGGAATGTGTCTTGTGTATAAACTACAAAATTTGTACTCTTTTTACCAGCTAAAATATCCTAGTGTTGTCGTATTTGTTTTTTCACAATAAATAATGAGCAAAATCAATTTGGTATATTGACAAATGTTCCGAGTTTCACAGTATTTCAGGGTTGGGATTTGGGATTTGGGATTGAGCTATTCTTTTGGTGGAAAGTGTAGCGACAGAATATTACCAGCATTAGATCAAATATTACCAAGCAAATTGAAGTAACAAGGTAAGGTTTCTATTATTTGTGAAATTTGCTTGATAATTTAATGAAAAATTGAAAAGGGCCCAAATCTTACAATTAGAACTTGTATCTGTATAATTGATTTTTCACATATCCAGAGATGTATGTCAAATTCCAGATATCTGAATTTATTGTTATACTGAGATTTTTTTGTAATATGAACGATAATTGTTTTTTAATGATATAGATAAATAATTACAATATTTTGATTCAAGAAATATAAATTTTTATATAAATACTTTGATGTAAAAAGTTCTATTGTCTGAGATAGTGTTTGAATCCGAATCTCAAATGAGACTCATTAAGGGGGTTACACCCTATCAAAGTAGCTTAAAATCATGTGTTTACCACATGATCTTGATAATGT